AATGAGACTTTGGGCTTGGAAAGGACAGGTTTGCCTTCTCCATTTGCTTCTGGAAGGGCTAATCACAGTGCTGGGGGCTCTTGCCCTTCTGAAGAGGGACTCCCACGAGGCTGGGCATGCAGAGGGAGCAGGGACAGTCCCCTGTGTCCCACCCAGCTGAGGGGGTGCTGAGGAGATGTCCTGGATCACAGGGAAGTGTTGGGTGTGGTTCCCATCACAGCTCTCAGTCCTGGCTGAGTTCCTGCCTGGACAAGGCTCCATGTGCCAGCCAGGCTGGTGTGGTGGCAGTGTCCTTCCCCTGGGGTTTCCTCTCCTGGCAGCAGCTGCTGCCCTGGCAGCTCCCCTGGACCATGGCAAGCAGGATCACACTCAATAAAGGTCTGTGAGGTCTCACTCCCTGTCCTCTGCCCATGCCAAGGGGTGCCACAGCCCTGCCAGGGTGGGTTCAGCTGCAAGGCCCTGGCAGTGCACGACATCCTGCTGAAAAGGGCGTGCTGGTGAGGTCAGGCATGGAAGCAGCAGAGACAACCTGGCCAAAAATGCTGGCTCTGCCGTGCTTGGGGCTGCACCCTGCCTGGGGAGGGTAGCTCTGGGGCACCCCAACCCTTGTTTATACTGTGAACTGCCTGCCAGCAGCATGTCCCACGGTCTCCCATCCTGCCTGGGTGATGCTGCTGGCTTGGGACAGCCGAGGGCCACAGCTGAGCCTGGCTGCAGGAGCCAGCAGAGGCTCCAGAGGTGAGGCTCTGGCTGCAGGTTTGTTTCCATCTCCTGCAGAGGCTGCCAGGCCGTGCTGAGCTGTCCAACCCCCTGCTGCCCTTCGCTGCTGCTCACCTGCTGCCCGGGGCTCAGCCCATCCCACAGGGGTGGTTTTGGGCTGGGGCAGAAGGAGGCAAAGGGTGGAAGAATTCAAGGGTGACTGAGCAGCTGCCGGTGTGACCTCCCCCTCCCGCCTTGCTTCCTGTGCAGGATCCCAGCAGTGTCCCTGTCACTTCCTCTGCTCCAGGCCTGTTCAGGACACTGGGGAGGATCGGTTTTCAAGGTTACATCTCGTATTTCTTTATCTCCAGTGCCCCCCCAGGCCAGCAGGCAGCTCTCTCTGGGGACACTTCCCATGGATGCTCTGTGGCCTGACCCTGGCAGGAGGCGCTGCAGGTGATGGCCCTGGGGCCCCTGGATGGGGTCTGGGGTAGCAGGGTCTCGCCTGCCTTGGTCCCGCTCCTGAGCCATTCCGGATCCCCGTGCTGTGCCGGGGCTCGTCGGGAGCCGGTGCTGCCCGGTGAGAGAGCCGGGGCACGGGGAGGCTGCGGGACCCCCGAGCGGGGGGCGAGCCTGGGAGGGCAGAGCGGGAGGGGGAGAGCCGTGGGGTCGCTGCCGAGGCACGCGGTAGGGCGAGGGGCGGGAGCGGTGTCGGGACACGCGCGGGGGGCGCGGGGCGCGCTCCCGGTGCGGCGGGCACGAGCGCGCGGGCGGGGCGGGCGCGGCCCCGGGGCAGCGGGGTCGCGGGGCGGGGCGGGCGGCCGGGGGCGGTCCCGGTGCCGGTTCCGGCTCTGCCCGCTCGGCTCCGCCCCGCCGCGGCCCGCCAGCCCCACTCCGGGCGGGATGCAGGACCCGCCGGTGGCTCCCGGCTCGGTGAGTGCGGCCGGCACCGGGAACCGGGAGACACCCCGGCCCCGAGCCCTGCCCGGCGGGGCGGCGGAGGGAGCTGCACACGTGGGGGACCCCGGGGAATGGGAATGAGGATGCGGGGGGATCCCGGTAGTGGCCTCGGGGGGGTCCCGGCACGAGGCGTGGAGGGGAGCCCGGGGCGTTGGGGACCGGGGCGATCCCGCTTGGCGACCTCGCCCCGGGCGCCGCCGCTGAGCCCGCTCCGCTTGCAGGGTGCGAGCCCCCGCCCTCCCGGTGACCCCCGGAGCCCGCCCGGGGATTCGCCAGCGCCCCGAGGATGAAGACGCTGGTGAGTACCCGCTGGGGCAGGGGCGAGGGGCCGGAGCGGGCCGAGCCCGGCTGCTGCCGGTGCCCGCGGGCGGCACCGAGCCCGGAGGGCGTGCGGGCATCGCCGCTGCAGGCAGTGAACCGGGCCCGGCACCCCGCACCGGTCCCCCCAGCACGCCTCAGCACCCTCCGAGGGGCAGCTCGCCCGTGGCCGCGGGGCCACCGGCATCGGCGCGGGGCCGGTGCACGTGGGCAGGCCCGGAGAGCTCCCCCCGCTCCGCTTCCAGGTCCGGCTCTTCCTGACGCTGGTGTGCGCGGCGGTGGCGGCGGTGCTGTACATCCTGCTCTGCTACCACGGCCGCGTGCAGCCCCGCTGCTCGGCCCCGGGGCTGCGGGACAGCCCCGCCGCATCCAGCGTCCGCAGCTTCCAGGGCTACAGCCGCGTTCCCGACGGGAAGGTGCGTGGGGATGGGGCAGCGCTGGGGCGGCTCGGCCACCTGTGCCTCGGTTTTCCTGTCCCTTGGGACGGGCAGGCAGGGGCTGTGGTGTGCCCAGCGGCTGCGGGAGGGAAGGAGGAGCTGACGGTGCCTCTCCCCACAGCCGCTGGAGCGAGCGCTGTGCCGCCACTGCGCCGTGGTGTCCAGCTCGGGGCAGATGCTGGGCTCGCAGCTGGGACAGGCCATCGACGGGCAGGAGTGCGTGCTGCGCATGAACCATGCCCCCACCAGCGGCTACGAGCAGGACGTGGGGGCGCGCAGCACTATCCGGGTGGTCTCGCACACCAGCGTGCCGCTGCTGCTGGGCAACCAGCCCTACTTCTTCCAGCAGTCCCAAGAGACCCTTTACTTCATCTGGGGGCCAGCAAAAAAGATGAACAGGGAGAAGATGGGCTCAACCTACCAGGCGCTGGTCAAGGTGATGGAAAAGTACCCCCAGCTGCAGATCTACACCCTGACCGAGGAGAAGATGACATACTGTGATGATGTCTTCCAGAACGAGACAGGGAAGAACAGGTACTGCTGGCTCCTGAGGTCAGGAGGTCTCATCGGGTCCCCCTCATGTACCTGTCCCCACCATCAAGCACCTGTGGTGGTGGCACTACCACCCAGGTGGGGCAGCAGCAGTGCCACCCACTGCAGTGTGACCACGATGTTTGCAGGATGAAATCGGGCTCCTTCCTGAGCACGGGCTGGTTCACCATGATCCTGGCCATGGAGCTGTGCGAGCGGATCTGTGTCTTCGGCATGGTCAGCGACAGCTACTGCAGGTGTGGAGGGGTGGCAGGGGCAGGTGTAGGGTGCTCTGGTGTCCCCCCAAGCCCCACACTCACCCTGTCCCCTCCTCCAGGGAAAAGAACCACTCCAGCGTGCCGTACCACTACTTTGAGAAGGGCCGGCTGGACGAGTGCAGGATGTACCTGGTGCACGAGCAAGCTCGCCGGGCCGGGCACCGCTTCATCACCGAGAAAGCCATCTTCTCCCGCTGGGCCAAGAGGAGGAACATTGTCTTCAAGCACCCATCCTGGGCAGGCAGGTAGGGCGCCAGCCACGGCGTGAGGCGGCAGGAACCTCGGCGGCAGGGCAGCCCTCATCCTGCAGCAACACGTCTCAGCTCCGCCAGTGGCACGGTTGGACGCCTTTTGCCAAGCCCTGGAGCAGGGAGTCTCCGTCTCTGCAGCAGCAGTGCCTGTTTCCCCAGCTGGTGGATGGGCTGGGAACCCCCTGTTGGTACATGGGGGCCATGAGCCGGACCCATGCAGCCCCACCAGCTCCAAACGCCTGCCTGGATGGACCCAGGGAGACCTGGTTTCTGCTCTCTCTACTAGGAGGAATATTTAATGCAGAATTAGACATGCTGCTGGACTCCAGCAGGACATGGGGCAGAAATGCTCAGCTCCACCAGGGCCACAAACTGGTGCCTCATAGAGACAAAGTTCTACTTCATGGTCCTTGCCCCACTCATGCCCTCTGGACAGTGCTGGGTGTGGGGTGCAGGCAGCTGGATCCAGGCTCTGCCTTCTGCTGCTTGGTGCCTGCATCCCCTCAGCTGGGAAGCCCTGGAGCCACCTGTGCCCTAGGGGCTACAAGTTGCCTTGTCACAAGTGTCCTTGGATTCAGACCAAAGCAAATGTGGCCATTAAAATTGTTTTTAATTCTGTGGTGCCCCGTGCTGTGCCCCGTGCTGTGCCCCTTGTGGCTGCAGGACAGGACAAGGAGTGAGGGAGGAGGGATACTCAACACCTCATCACAGGCTGCCAGGCTATAAATAAGAGGGAGAGGTGATAAGGGGGTATAGAGCTGAGCCTAAACATGGAAGAGAGTGCTGAAAGCAGTTGAGGTTATTAGGGAACCAGCAGCTGCATCTCTGCAGGATGGGAGCTGGGTCTGGGGTGATCCTCAGTGCCACAGGGCTCAGTGCTGCTGGGCTGTCACAGGGCACTGGCAGCTCCCATGTGCCTGGAGAGATGGGATATGCCATGGGCAAGTGCATGGCCTTGAGCCCACAGCAGCCCTTTGGACGTGTAAACAGACGGCACATGTTTGGGTGGGTCCGGGGCTATCTGGGGCACCAGGGCTGAGAGGAGGAGCAGATTTAAGAGAGGGTGCAGTGAGCAGCGAGTGGTTCAGGAACCGGGGGTGCTGCCAGGGCTGGTTCCTGCAGGGCAGTGCATCACCGGCACAGCGGAGCCAGAACCCCTCTGGACAGGCGTCGGGGATAGAGGTGGAGCCGTCCCCCTGCGCCACGAAACCCCCGAGCGGGGCCCTGAGCTGCCGGGCCAGCGCGGGGGAGAGCTCGGCATCCCGGCAATGCGCTGCGCCGGCAGCGGGCAGGCTCGGCTGCTGCTCCGGGCACAGCCGGGCAGCGCTGCCCCATCCCCGCTGCCCTCGGCGACCGGGGAATCAGTCCCGGTCCTTCCCGGCGGGGCTCCTCCACACCGGGAGGGCGGCACTAGGACCCGGCGGGGCTCCCCCATACCGGGAGGGCGGCACTAGGACCCGGCGGGGCTCCGATCCCGGGAGGGCGGCACTAGGACCCGGCCTGGGCGGCGGAGTGGCGCGGTCGGTATTGGCAGCGGTATCAGTAACGGCAGCGATATCAGTAACGGCCGCGGTAACGGTAGCGGTACCGGCAGCGGTATCGATATCGGTACCGGCAGCGGTGTCGCGGTGCCGGGGCGCGCTGCGGGCCGGGGCGCTCGGCGGAGCTGAGCCGGGCCCGTTCCGCCGGTGCGGGGGCGGAAGGCGCCGTGTCCGGGCGGGCCAGCGGCCCCTGCCCCCGGGGCCGGTGCACAGGGGATGGAGGGGCAGGAAGGGTCCCGCTCGCTCCCGTGCCGCCGGGGCCGGGGGGTGCTCCCCGGGGCGGGGGAGGACCCGCACGTAGGGTGCCGGGAGGCTCGCCCCCGGGGCCGGGCGGGTTTTCCCTCCCCGCAGGGCGGGAGGGTTCGCATCCGGGGCTGGGGGACCCCCGGGGCGGAGGGGCCGGGTCTGAAGCAGCGTTCTCCCGCAGAGCGGCAGTGTGGGCCCCGCTGCCGGCCATGGCCGAGCCCGCCGGAGGGGCCGGGCCGCGCCCGCCGCCCGCGGGGCGCAGGAGGTGACGGAGCCCTCATGAGAGCCCGCAGCAGGTGAGGCCGCGGGGCGCGCCCCGCCGCGGCTCCGCACGGCCCGAGGGCTGCGCAGGGAGCGGGTCCGGGAGTGGGGGTCCCTCCGCGCCCCCAGCCCTTGCACGGTGAAGCCCCTCAGCATCCGCACGCCGGCCGTGGCCTGGGCTGCCCGGGCAGGCTGCTGCCTTTGGCACCACCGCCGGCCCCGAGGGCCCTTCGAGGTGTCAGCTCCCCCCAGGGGTTGATCTCAAGCTGTTGCATAATTTTCCTTGCGACAATTAGTAAAGAGGCTTCAGTGGTTTTTAATTTCCATTTGCTTGGAGCGCTGCGGGAATGGCTGGGGCTCACTAACCAGGGCTCCCAAAACTAAACTGGGTCAGTCCACTTGGAGTGGAAGTTAGAGAGGCTGGAGAGGTCCCTGCAGGTCTGCTGGATGTGCTGAGTGGGGCAGGTCTCACTTCCTTCCATTCCCTCCTGATCCAAGGCTCCTGTGGCGGTGGTTTTAATGGAATTTCACTGCACGAGCAGCAGGCTGACCCTCCCTAACCCTGCGGTTTGAGTGGTTTCATCCCCACGAGGGGAGGATAATCCTCCCTGGACCCAGCTTAACGTGGGGATTCCCCAGGCACGAGCTTCGCCTGGGTTTGGCTCTTCCACACCCCGGAGTCTGCCCAGCCTCTGTCAACCAGCCTTCTTTTCCCCTCATAAATTCCGGGGGATTCTCCTCTTCAGAGGGGGACCTGGTGACTCATCCTGTGTACCTGTATCCCCACCCGGGGACAATGGGCCATGCTGGGGGTGACCACATGCCTTGCAGGTGCCAGGCTGGGGTGACCACATGCCTTGCAGGTGCTCGCGGGACGCCGGCAGTCGCTGTGTGCTGAGGCTGGCACAGAGACATGAGTGGCAGCACGGTGAGTGCCAGAGAGTCACCTCGGGGACCTCCTGGGGAGGCATCCTGCTGGAGATGCCTTGGGAGAGGGGTGGATGCACCCCCGCGGGGTGGGGGCAGCGGCTGACGCTGTCCCCCCGCCCGCAGAGCCAGCGTGCCGCCGCCCTGGGGGTCCTCTTTGCCCTGATCATGTTGCTGATCATCTACAGCTCCGGCAACGGGAGCGAGGTGTTCCCCTACAGCCGCCTGCGGGGCAGAGCCCGCCGGCCCCCCGACCTCAAGAAGTGGGGGGTGAAAAGCGGGTACCTGCCCGTCTGCGGGAACAAGGTACGGGCTGGGCACAGGGCCGGGCCTGGGCAGTGACGTGGAATGTCCCTCTGCTGGCATCCAGCCGAGCTGTCCCCTACCGAGGACAGCGGCTCCGCAGGGAACAGTACCCTGTCCACGCTGTCACCAAAAGTCACCTGCTGATGGCACTTGTCATCGCCAGACCCTGACTGCCCGCTGCCACCAGTGCGTCATTGTCACCAGCTCCAGCCACCTCCTGGGCACCCACCTGGGCACGGCCATCGACGGGGCTGAGTGCACCATCCGCATGAACGATGCTCCCACCACGGGCTACAGTGCTGATGTGGGCAACAAGACCAGCTTCCGCGTGGTGGCCCACTCCAGCCTCTACCGTGTCCTCAAGCGGCCCCAGGAGTTCGTCAACAAGACCCCGGAGACCATCTTCATCTTCTGGGGGCCGCCCACCAAGATGCAGAAGAGCCTCCTGAAGATCATCCAGCGTGTCTGCGCCTCGTTCCCCAACATGACAGCCTACGTTGTGTCCCCCGGCCGCATGAAGCAGTTTGATGACCTGTTCCGGGGAGAGACAGGGAAGGACAGGTACCTCAGAGCCACCTCTCATGCTGTGTCCCCCTTTCTCCAGGTTCCCAGCACAGAGCTGACTCTTGGAGCTGCATCACGGGCTGCAGCATCGAGCTGGGAGTCCCTGAGGCACGCTGGGCACACTGAGGGGGTCCATTATCCACATCACCTCACCCCTGCCACCCTTGCTGTTGTTTCCCCTCCCCAGGGAGAAGTCTCGCTCGTGGCTCAGCACTGGCTGGTTCACCATGGTGATCGCGGTGGAGCTGTGCGACGCCATCCACGTCTACGGCATGGTGCCGCCCAGCTACTGCGGGTGAGGAGACCCCCAGTCCCCCACCCAGCGCCCTGACCCCACCGTGGGGCTCACCCCGTGTTTCTTTCCCCACTGCAGCCACCACCCGCCACCCCGGCGCCTGCCCTACCACTACTACGAGCCCAAGGGCCCTGACGAGTGCACGACCTACATCCACAACGAGCGGAGCCGCCGGGGCAACCACCACCGCTTCATCACTGAGAAAAGGGTCTTTGCCAGCTGGGCCGGCCTCTACAACATCACCTTCTCCCATCCCACCTGGACCTAGGGGCTGCCCCACGCCTGCTGGGCACACCCCTGTCGCTGGGATGGATGGGGGTTCCCCTGCATCCCCCTGGGAGTGGTGGGATCCACCAGCTGCCTCCCACAGGACCGCTGCTGCTGTGCATGGTGGCTCCTGGCACCTGGGATGTGTTGGGTTTTGAGCTGGTTTTTGGGGACCAGGTGGTGAATGTAAGATTTGGGGTGTCCCCCCTCCATGTGCAGGACACTTGGGTTGATACCCTGCCCCATCCTGGTCCACGCACATTGCAGCCCCTGTGAGGCTGTAAGGGGGCTCCAGGTCCCCTCAGCTCAGCTTTGGGGTCACCACAGAGACTCTTTCCCCCAACCGTCTGGGTGAGGAGACCCCCCTCTTTGGAGCTCAGCCCCCCCTGCCATCCCCAGCCCCTCATCCCAGTCCTCAGTCATCCTTCCCACAGCAGAACCCCACAGTTTTTGGTGGGACGCCACGGGGGTGACATTACCACCCTCCCTGTCCCAGCACCCCAAAAACGCCAGCCCCTCCCAGCACTGCTGTGCCCCACACTGCCAAAACCTTTTCTAACTGGAAGATGGGATTTTTGGGAGCTTTTAGGGGGTTTTGGCTTTTTTTCTCCCCACTTCTAATCCTGGGGTTTCTACTTGGGCTTCCTGGATGAAGGAGTGAGCAGGGGCTGCTCATCGATGGAAACAAAGGGCCAGCAGCTGCCTGTGAACAATTTAGAAGTGGGCAGGTAGTGGGGGCCAGTGGTGCCTGGTGACATCCTGTGGCTGGGACAGGACTTTAATTTCTCAGCAGCAGAGAAATTGAACTGGGGAAAGCACCTAAATGTGGTGTGTTTGGGTGCTGAGCCTTGGCAGGAATCCATTCCTCAGTTTCCCTCTGGCTGTGGCTGGGGTTTTGGGGGGCTGGGTGCTGGGGACGCAGTGGGGCACCCGTGTTTTGTAATTGTTTGTACAGGAATAAATATTGCTGCAGTCTGGTACCTTGAGCCCTGGCTCTGGACGGGTTTTTGGGGATGATGGCAGTGAGCCCCAGCAATGCTGTCCCTGGGCACTCAGGGGGGTGCAGCAAGGTGACCAGCGGTGACAGCTGAGACCTCCCCAGCTTGTGTCACCCCCAGCCAGGTGCCCTGGGGTCACAGAGTCTTGGGAGGGGTCTCTGCAGCCACAGAGGAGGAGGAAGGGCAGGTAAGGACTGGGAGGTCACCATTGCCTGTCTCAAATTCTGGTGGCACAGAAGGGAGCAGCACGGTGGCACTGGCTCTGGGCCTGGTCTGGCACATCCTGGGTGACATCCAGACAAGCTGTGGAGGGGCAGCTGCTCACACACATGTCCCTGGCCAAACAGATCACCCCAATTTATGGGATAGACAGCAAACCAACCACCAAAGCTCCTCTTCCCGCTGCTGGATTCATAAGAGAAATTTGAGATAAGATAAAGGTGGCACTGTTGTCCGAGCATTACCTCGGATTAGGGGTGGTAAACAAAACTGGAGGAGAGGAATGTGTCACTGATAACACAAAGAATCCACAAGCAAAGCCAGCCAGGTAAGTGGTGGATGGGATCAGCTCCAGCTGGGTAGAAGGCAATTCTGGCAGGGGGAGATGAACCTGAGAGACTGAGCATGGGATTAATTAGCATTAGAAGAGAGGGAATCACTTAACCAATGGAATAAAGGAACTGTGTGGCCAATGAGCATTAATGCCTTCATTTGCAAAAATGTATAAATAGTGAGACGTTTTCAACAGCCTTGGGACCCCCACCACCACGAAGACCGGGGTGAGGAAGGACCAACGGGATGCTGAGGGATCCAGGGGTGGTGACAATCTTCTGCTCGACTGATCTCTCTCTCCCCCACACACACAATCCCTATTTTCTATTTATTTCTCTACCTCACATTTTATTGTTAAATAAAATCTGTACTATTGGCTTTGGCATCCGGCATCTCTCACTGAGCAGATGTTGACAGGGACACAGCACCCCCGGGGTTTTACACCCCCGGAGCTGAGGCAGAGGGGTGTGTAAGCTGGGCGTGAGGGCATGGGGACATAGGGATGGGGACATAAGGACATTAGGGACAAGGGTGGTGACAGTGGGGATGGGAATGGGGGAATGGGGATAGGATGGGAACATTAGGGATGGACAAAGGGATGGGGGCATGAGGGTATTAGGGACAAGGATGGGGACAGCAGGGACAGGAATGGGGACATCAGGGACAGGGATGGGCACCAGGGAGAGGGATGGGGACATGAGAACGGAATGGGGACGGAAAAGGGGAGGCGACATGAGGACGGTGACACAGAAAGCATTCCCGTGCGAGGCGCTGGGGGCGGCCCGGAGACCCCAGACCCGGCAGGGCGGGGCTGCCCTGGCGGGCGGACCCGCGCCCCGAGCGGAGCGTGTTTAACCGGGTGGCACCGCCGCGTCCCGCCCGTCCGCGGGGGGCTTTGCTTGGCGAGGCCAGGGTTGGCGGGGCCCCGCGGGGCTGCTGGAGCAGCCCGGGACCGGGCTCGGGTCCCGGGGAGGGGCTGCGGCGCGCTGGCCGCCGATGGAAGGGGAGCGGTGCGCTGGAGCTGGCGGGGGCTGAGATGGCGGGGGGCACCCCCAGGGCCTTGGCTGGGGGGTCAGCAGGCCAGCCTGAGCCCCCTGCCCAGCCCCGAGCCCCCTCCCCAGCGCGCCCCCATCGCCTCCGGAGCGGTCACCTCCGCATCACCCGCGGCACCGGCACCGCGCCGGGTCCGCGCCCAGCTCGCACTGAGGGCCGGCCATGCCCGCAGCCCCCTGCCGCCCCACCGGGACCGCTGCCGGCTGTCCCGGGGCTCTGCACCCCGCGATGAGGCACCCGGGGGTCCCGCGCTCCCCAAACCCCGCGGGGACATCTCCGGACTGTGTCCCCGCAGCGCTGGTGGGATGTGACCCGGTGCCGCTTTCAGCCCGGCCATTCTTAGCCCCTGCCCTTTCGAGGTGTAACACGACCTGGCAGCGGCTGCGGGCTCCTCTGGCCACGGGATCCCCCTCCCTGCACCCCGTCCAGCCGGTTCGGGGTGACGCACTGTGGCCAAGCAGGTCGGCTGCTGCGGGGCTGGGTGTGGGCAGCTGGGGTGGCCAAACACGCCCTCGAGGTCCTGGGGGTGCGGCGGGGTGCTGGAACCCCCTCCTCGGGACACCCCCCTCAAACCAGCCCCCGGGGAGCTGGGGGTGCTGCCCGCATCCCTCGGTGTTGCGGTGGCACCGGGCATCCCCAGCGGGTTTCCTGCTGTCGGGCAGCACCCCAGGCATTGGGATGTGGGCAGGGCAGGGGAGGAAGCCGGCACGTCACCACGCGTCACCCGGCATGGGGATGCCCTTACCGCAGCCGGATGCGGAGGGTGACTGCTGGGAGCCAGGTGAGTGATGGCCGCAGGAGCAGAGATCACTCAGCTCCCTATTCCAGGGCCGAGACAGGAGCTGTGTCTTCTGTCCCATCCCCCCAGTCTGGCCTTGGAGCTGGGCACCATCATGGCCAAAAAGGGAGACCCTTTTTGGGGAGAGCCTTTTTCTCCCCAGACTCTTGGTGACCTGATGTGCTGAGTTGTTTATCCTGCTCTTTTCTGGCAGCCTTAAGTGCTTCTGTGCCTGGACCTCGGCAGCATGTCGACAGGTGAGTGATCCATCTCCCTGCATGCATTCCAGCTCCATCTGTCCCCTCCGTGTCCCCTGCATCCATTCCCTCTGCATCTCCCTGTCTCCCTTGTATCCTTTTCCTTGGTTGCCCCCTGCATCAATCTCCCCAGCAATTAATCCCATTTGTCCCCCCTGCAGCCATCCCCTCTGCATGCCCCTGTCCCCCTTTGGTCCCCCCTGCATCCATCCCCTTGGTCCCCCCCCATCCACCCCCTCTGCATTCCCCTTCCCTCCCTGCCTCTGTCCCCTCTGGCCCCCCTGCATTTTTCCCCATTACGCGCAGCCCTCGTCCTCTCACACACGTAAGTGACAACTAGTCTTCAATTATTTCCTTCAAGTTGAATTAAAGGTGCATTGTTATGCTAATTTTGCATCTCCTCCATCCTATCTTTCCTTCAACTGTCTCCAGAGCAACCTGGGATTTCAGTTCATGGTCCAAACTACCTCTGGAAGAGCTCTTTCACCAGGGTGTTGTTACAGGTATTCACAAAACAGGGAGATGCCAATGGAAAGGCTTCTGGATGGGCTTCCAGCTATGGCAACTAACAGGTAAAGCAGCTCTCCATCCATCCATCCCCTTGGTCCCCCCCCATCCCCCCCCTCTGCATTCCCCTTCCCTCCCTGCCTCTGTCCCCTCTGTCCCCCCTGCATTTGTCCCCATTACGTGCAGCCCTGGTCCTCTTTGCATTCCCCCCCTCCACGTGCCCCTGTGTCCTTGCCTCCCTCTCTTCTGTCCATCCCCCTGTCCCTCCAGCCCCCCCACATGCCCCACATCCCATTGGTCCCTGCCAGACACTTGGCTCCGTCCCCAGCTCTGGGGAGTGCTGGGTGCCAAGGAGCTGAAATTTCATCCAGCTGTAATCAGGAGATGGGAAAGTGGCCCCAGAGCAGCTCAACTTTATTTTTAGCTCTGCTTCCCCCTTCGGCATCCCACCCTGGCATCACCCCCCACCACAGCTGGTGCGCAGATCCCACAGGTGGTGAGAGCCCTGTGCCAGGGTGCTGGGCAGGGACGGGGTGCTCAGTGCCACTTGCACGTCGGCCCCCCAGTCCAGGGAGCGATGCTGGGGTCCAGGCACTGCCGGGGTTGTGCCAGGTGCTCGAGGCGGCCGTGCCAAGCCCAGCCTGCCACGGCCCCAGGTAGCCCAGCGGGGTGAGGAGCCGGCCACAGGGATGGATGAGGCCAGTCCCTGCCTGCGGTGGAGCCGTGGACAATGAGCACCTCTGGGACACCACGTGGCACTGGAATTCCAGCCCCACGGCCGAGGTGCCCTGGGGTCTTTGTGCTCAGACGTGGCCAGACAGCCCAGCCTGCCCAGGTGACCAGGACACACGTCTGCTTCCCTCTCCATCTTCTCCCCAGGACTCTCCTGGATCGGTCCCCTCTATCCCCAGGGATGCCTGCCCTGGATTTGGCACCCCCTGGGGACACCTCACTCCCTGATGGACCTTTTGGCTTTTGATAATTTTTTTTTTCCTTTCTCTTTTCCAGAAAAGCTCAAGCAGCACAAAATCATCTTTGTGGTGGGTAAGTCTGTGTCTGGGTCCTGTCACTGGTGGGGTCAGCCCAGGCCTTTTTCCTGTAGCTCTAGGCTGGGGAAACAGGGCTGGAGGCTGAGACGGGGCTATTCCCAGGCACTGTGGGATGGCCATGGCTCCAGCTTGGCTCCTTGAGTCCACATGGGGTATGCTGGGACCAGGAGGGCACCTCTGGCCAGGCATGGGGTGGCAGCATCTGGGGTGATGTGACAACAGATCTCTGGGAGGTAATGTGACCAAACCCTGGTGGTGGTGCCCTGGGTGCCATCAGGGTGTAGTGCCCACATGCCGATTCTCAACAGCCCATGCCACCCCTAAACACTTGGGCAACCTCAGGAGAAGCTCTGTCCATCCACTTGGTGCTGGGCCTGGGGACACAAATGGACACGTCACTGAGCTCTGAGGACTCCTGTGTGTCTGTGCTGCTGCTCCCATGTAGCCGTCCCTCTCCTCACCCATGGCTTGGGGCACACGTGTGCCTTGCAGGTGGCCCTGGCTCGGGCAAAGGGACGCAGTGTGAGAAGATCGTGCAGAAGTATGGCTACACCCACCTGTCCACGGGGGACCTGCTGCGGGCAGAGGTCAGCTCGGGCTCCGAGCGGGGCAAGAAGCTGCAGGCCATCATGGAGAAGGGAGAGCTGGTGCCCCTGGTGAGTCCCTACCAGCCACCAGCTGCCACGTTATGGGGTGTGCAGGGGTGTCAGTGGGGCTACCACAGGAATGGTGAACTCGTGGCTCAGGCATTTCTGGCCCTGCCATCCCAGGGCGGGGTTTGCAGCAGGGATT